CACTCAGCCGCTAACACTTCACGGGGATTCGCGTGCGGCCCTTGGCCCGGGCCCAGACCCCGGCGGCCCGGGACCACGCAGCGCCGGCGACAGCAGTGCCCTTGCTCACCGGGTCACCGGCCGCCGGTCCTCCCGCACCTGACGCTAACGGAGACCCCCCACCCCGCCCTCGCACGGTCGGCGCCCCTGCGCGTGCGCTCGGCCCCGCTTCCCGCGCTCGCCCCTCTCAAGCCCACCCACAAACCCACGAGCGCAGTCACGACACCCACGGAGAGTGCGCGCCTGCGCACACAGCCCAGTCGGTTCCGTCCGCGCGCCGCGGCCCGGGAGGCTCCGCCCATTTGGAGGGCGTGGCTGCCTCAGTCCCGCCAACCACGGGCGGTGCGCCAGCCCACCCTTCTCCTCCCATGTGGGGGCGTGGCTTACTCAACCCCGCCATGGGCGGTGCTCCTGTCCCAAGCGGGCGGTGGTCGGAGAGGCTCCGCCCACTCTGGGCGTGGTCTCATCGGTCCCGCCCCCTCCCTCACTAGCCCTCGCCTCCACTCTGCGCCCCCCCTCCCCACTTGCTCTTCTGCATCACCCCTCCCTCATGTCACCCCACACCCTCCCTTCATGTCCAACACCCCCACATCCCCGCTCCCCTCCGCGAGGTCTGCGGGTCTCAGCGCAGCAGCCAAGCCTGGGAGAGATTGAGTGATAAAGATGAAAAATGTAACCAAGCAATTCTTTTCATTTTTATCTATCTGTCTAGTTAGTTTATTGTTGTGGTGCTGGGGATCCAACCCAGGTCCTCAGGAATGCTAAGCCAGCACTCTACCACTGAGCCCAGATCCCAAGCAATTTTTTATGTAAATGAAAAAGAAAGAAAGAGCAAATGTTAACAGCAATATGTAAAAATGGAAGGTAAAAAATGTGCTAAAAAAAGAAAAGGAGAATGTCACCCATGCTCATGGACGTGAGATTGTGCCTGTCCTACACATGCCTTTCTGATATTGGCTGTCATTGATGAATGAATGAGTACAAGATCCCGAGGAGTCAGAGTGCTCAGCACCACGGCAAAGAAACAGGGGCCTTCCAGCTGGGCACCAGTGACTCACGCCTGTAATCCCAGCCACTTGGGAGGCTGAGATCAGGAGGATTGCAGCTTGAGGCCAGCCTGGGCAAATAGTTCTTGAGAACCCCATCTCCAAAATAACCAGAGCAAAATGGACTGGAGGTGTGGCTCGAGAAGCCCTGCGTTCCACCAATAAATAAATAAAATAATGCTCGAAATGTAAATGTGGAAGCACAATTGGAACTTACACTAAAGACACAAGATAGATCCCATCTGTGTAAAAAAAGAAATGAATAAAGAACAAAGAGAAGAAAGCCCCACAAACATAACAATACAAAAAATGTGGGCATTCTGTACACGGCTTAGCCTCAGAGCCCAAAGGATTGAGCTAATTTTCATAAACCACTCAAGGAGCACCACACTGAAGTGAAGTAGGCTCTTGATATTTTGCAATTCCCGACAGCTTTTTAAACTGTATTTTTTATTCTGGGACTTGCCATAATTTTTTGTGTGTTTTTAAGACTGTCTCACTACGTAGCTCAGGTTGGCTCCAACTCACTATCCTCGCACGTCTGCATCCCAATCCTGGGAGAACAGGTGTGCACCATGACGTCAACTGTGTCATTCATTTTATTAGCATTATCTCAAGTCTGCATAATCCAAAATCCCACAGCAATGTGACAGCTCTCTTATATATCTTCTACAGGTAATTTATGTGGATATAAATTCATAGGAAATCTGCATATTCATTACCAAGAGGGAATTCCTCAGAGAAGGGGACCTGTTACCCAAAGATTTTAGGCTTGCTGGGCATCGTGGCGTGTGTCTGTAATCCCAGCACAGGGGAGGCAGGGGCAAGAGGCTCTCGTATTTACTTTTATCACAGGGAAAAAGATAGTTCCTCCTTATTTGTGAAATGTCAAGGCTTAAGACAACACTTCGTAGGAGCGAGGATAACAGAGCTGTTGGGAAGATTCACTGAAAAAAGGCAATCTATGATACGTATTATTCCTACTTATGATTTGGGTTTTTTGGGGTTTTTTTGCTGTTTTTTTGGTGGAGCTGGGGTTTGAACACAGGGTTGCACTTGCAAAACAGTAACTTTTACCACTTGAGCCACACCTCCAGTCTATTTTGCCTTATTTTGGATCTGGTGTCTTGTGAAGTATTTGTCCCAACTGGCCTTGAACCGTGATCCTCCCGATCTCGGTCTCCCAAGTAAGCCAGGATTACAGGTGTGAGCCACTGTCGCCCAGCTGTGATGTTTTTAAGTGAAAAGAACAAGCTTCCAGATAATAACTAAAGTGTGTCCCTAAGCTTAAACCATTTCCGCACACACAGAAGCGTGCTGGATGGGAGATAAAGGTGAACTTGACACATTTGTACGGTTGGAATGTTTACATTTAGCATGCTTTTTACAATCTGGATTAAAAAAATAATGAACAAGGACCATAAGCTTTATTAGTTATGACCAAAAATTTCAAAATACTTTATTCCACGTGTAGCCAAATAGAGAAAGAAAGCGAGAAAAGGAAATGTTTGCAGAGATCAGAAGTCAGAGGAAAAGGACCGAGGAGGATGGGGAAATGGGAGAAAGGAAAACAAGTTTAGAGGGAAGGGATGCTCGGGCCTTGTGACTCTCCAAGTGCCACCTTTATTTAGAGGGTCACATTTCACAGGTCACTGGGTTCATAGGCACCCTATTTTTCTATGAGCATAGGATTGGGAGGGGCCCCCCATAAAATAAAGTATTTGGCTGGACGATGAATGGTAAGCTCTATCAGGGACCGTTCTGCTTTTCTCATTAGTTGAAGATCTGTGAAGCCGTCCCTTTCACCTACATCTCAGAATTCCTCCACCACGGAAAGGCCCGTTTGTTTTTTATCCATCGACATATTAGGCTGCTGTCCTGCTGCCTCCAGGACACACGTGTAAGGAACATCTACTTCGGAGTGTTTTTCCAATCCATAGGAAGGGTGGGAAGTCAGAAGTGATCGTGGGGACACTGAGAGAGCCGGTCAATTAGTTTAAAGGCAGGTGTTTGGGGCTGTGGGAAGCACCTGGTCATGGCATTAGAGCAGGTGCACCCCGCATAAACCCACGTGACGTTGAGGACCAGCAGGTAGGTCCTTCTGACCCCTGGAAGGTTAGCCAAAATAATGCCAGGCATGGCAGCGTACACACTACACGTGTGTGGCAATTGTCCCAGCAAGATTTGGCTGACCACCCTGGGTCTAATTTGAGTTTCTTAGAAGAAAACAGAAGCAGCATTTGCAGAAACAAGATGGGCCTGAGGCCTTGTGGGGCCTCCCTGATGGGCATGAATGCACAGCGACAGCACAGAGTCCAGTCACAGAGCTCGTTTCTCCATCTTTATTAACGCTACGTTCTCCTGCTGACAGTTGTGGGGCAGGGCAGCAGCACGTGAGGCCCAGAAAAGCCAGGGACAGTGGCCTGCCCCAGTTCACCCTGCCTGGGCCCCTTCTGAGGCTCGTGTCCCATAACACATAGGGAGAGGAGAAAACCGAGACTGGCAGGCCACCGCCCAGCAATCCTGGTGCCTCCCTGGGACACCTGCCCGCCTCCCCACTCCACCTGGTCAGGCCAGGCTAGGCCAGGTCTTACTGCCACCACCCAGGCCCTCTTCCCACCCAAGGCCTACCTCAGCCTCCTACCCTCCCAGCACCTACAGCAGCCTAGCTGCTGGCTCAGTCCCAAGGCCACGTCTACACTAATACGGAAAGAACTAGCTCTAAAAGGGAATGCAGTTGCTTCAGAACCTCACTTCTGGCCCCACTTACGGGACAGAGGTCTTGAGTGAGCCACGCTTCAGATGTTGCCCCAACAAGACCAGTCTGGAGGGTGGCATGCACCAGGCCGGGTCCTTGCATAGTTGGATGCTTGGTGTGTCACTGAGCCAGGGACTAACATCCACCCCTCCAGATGTGGACAGCCACTGTGCCAGCCACCAGGCCCTCAGTGTGCCTTCTGTGGAACGGGAATCCAGGCAAACACAATTTGCTTCTAGTGCAGGACAACGACAGAAGCAGAGTTAAAGGAACTGCGGAGACTGTAGGCCCCTAGTCATGGGGTGCGTCGCGGGACCTACCTCAGGGTGTAAAAGGCTAAATGGCCACTGGGCTCAGAAGGGCAGGGTTCCACTTGTCCACTTCCTGCAGGACAGGGGGCAGCCCAGAGAACCGAAAGCTGGGGCGGCGTCTGTAGGAGCCTGCACAGACACCCCACGGATGTGCGGCTGTGCCACTCTAGCCGCCAGAGGCGATGGACCAAAGATGTAGAAAGGAAATAGACCAGAACCCATCTTTAGCCAACACTGAGGGCGGGGGGGGGGCGCGGATTGGGGTGAGTGGGAGTGAGAATCGTGAGGGTCCAGAGAATAAGGCTTCTGACCCCCTAGGGACCCTGCGCATACCTGCTACCCGTCCTGAAATTTGGTCTCTGGCTTTTTCTCCTCCCCCAACACTCCGCAGGCCATACAAGACATAGAGATAAATATCCAGTGGACCGTCAGAAATAAAGCTTTCTAGGCACATCTCCATCCCGTGCCACGCACAGCTCTAAAACCTTTGATGGACGTCCCTGAATCTCCCACGGAGGAATGGGAACCCAGACGCCAGCGCTGATTACCGCAGCAGCGGGATGCTCTTCCCTCGACCTCCCCCCTCCCGACGCAATGGGGGCCACCCAAACCGGAATCCGAATAAAATAAATAGCCGTGCCCGCCACCCTGCCTCGCAGCGCAGCCCCCTGGGGATGGTGCAGTCTCAGGGACGGCTGCCCCCGCCCCGACCACCTCTGCGCGCTGCTCTGCTCTCCTGAGCGCCCACCACGCCGCAGTACCAGCTCGAGCGTGGTCGCTGCGTCCTCCGAGGCCGTGGGGCAGGGCGGTGCACCGGGGATCGAGGGAAGGCACCGCGCCCAGGACTGGGACCCTCAGCCCCCCGAGGCCAGAGGAGCAAAGGGCGGGCGCCCAAGGGGAGGGACGGTGGTCTAGCGGGCTGCGCATCCATCGGCCGCGGGCCCTCACATAATGCTCTCCTCGAAGGCGCTCGAGGGCCCCGCGAATGCCGTAGACTCGGAGCTGAAGCTCGTCCCGCCCGCGAACTCCAGCAGGGTGCCCGCGCCCGTGCTCGGCTGCCCCTTGGCGGGCGCCTCGGCCTTGGGCGCGGGGTGGCGGTGGCCGCCTGGCCGGGCGCGCCGCCGCGCCGCGGTGCGTCTTCATGTGGGTGAGCAGGTGCGAGCTCTGCGAGAAGCGGCGGCCGCAGTTGGCGCAGGCGTACGGCCGCTCGCCCGTGTGCGTGCGCTGGTGCGTGACGAGCACCGAGCGCTGCGAGAAGCGCTTGCCGCACTCGGGCACGGGAAGGGCCGCTCGCCGGTGTGGCCGCGCCGGTGCTTGGCCAGGTTGGAGCGCTGCGCGAAGCCGCGGCCGCAGTCGGCGCAGCGGAAGGGCTTCTCGCCCGTGTGCGTGCGCCGGTGCCGCTTGAAGTCCGAGCTGTGGCCGAAACCCTTGCCGCAGTCGGGGCAGCGGTGCGGCTTCTCCTCGGCGTGCGCCCACTGGTGCCGCGTCAGCGCCGCGCTCTGCCCGAAGCGGCGGCCGCACTCGCCGCACGCGTAGGGCCGCTCGCCCGTGTGCGCGCGCCCGTGCGCCGTCAGGTGCGCGCGGCGGCTGAAGCCCGCGCCGCACACCCCGCACACGAAAGGCTTTTCGCCTGTGTGGCCGCGCACGTGCGCCGCCAGGTGCGAGCCACGGGCGAAGCGCGCGCCGCACTCAGGGCACGGAAGGGCGCTCGCCCGTGTGCGTGCGCCGGTGGCGCGCCAGGTGCGAGCCGTACACGAAGCTCTTGCCGCAGTCGGCGCAGCGGTGCGGCCTCTCGCCCGCGTGGTAGCGCTGGTGCTTGGCCAGCGCGGCGCGCGCGCCGAACGTCTTTCCGCAGTCCGAGCAGATCCATGGGCTCTCCTCCTCCGCCAGCGCCGCGGGTGCCGGCTCGGCCAGCAGTCCCCCGACGGAGGGCCCGAACGCGCGCAGGCCGCTGCCACCGCCGCCGCCCCCGGGCCCGCCGCCGCCGAAAGGGTCACAGGCCAGCCCTGCACCCTCCACCAGGGAGAGCGGGCCTCCCAGCGGTCCCGGCACGGGGCGCCCGTCGGCTGGCAGCCGCTCTCCGAACTCGGGAAGGCCCAGGATGGGGAAGCCGTCCGGGCGGAGCCAAGACTTGGGGTGCACGGGGAAGTGGAGGCCGAGCGGGTGCGAGGAAGGCCCCTCGCCCTCTCCCTCGCCCAGGCCGTTGCCCATCTCGAGGACCCGCCTGTCCGGCTCGGGGTCGTCCTTCTTGCTCTCGGCGGCGGGCGCCTCCGCCTTCCCCTCCGCTGTCTCCTCTCTCGCCTCAGCCTCCCGCACTCCGTCCGCCTCGCCGGCCTCGGGTTCCTCCGTCTCCTCGGGCCCCGCCGCAGCCGCCACCTCGCGGGCTCCCGTCGCGGGTCGTCGCCGCCGGGCTCCGTGCAGCAGCCGCCGCGCCGGTGGCGCTGGAAGTCTGCGCGCAGGCGAAAGGCCTGGCCGCAGTCGGGACAGCAGTGCGGCCGGTCGGCCGTGTGCACCGCCTGGTGGCGCGCGAGCGCTGAGCTCTGGCTGAAGCTGCGGCCGCAGTGAGGGCACGGGTAGGGCCGCTCGCCAGTGTGCGTGCGCTGGTGCGTGACCAGGTAGGAGCGGCGCCCGAAGCCCGCACCGCAGAAGGCGCAGCGGTAAGGCCGCTCGCCGGTGTGGATGCGTCGGTGCGTGACCAGGTGCGACTTGTAGACGAAGCGCTTGCCGCAGTCCGGGCACGGGAAGGGCTTCTCCCCGGTGTGCGTGCGCTGGTGGATGGCCAGGTGCGAGCGGTACACGAATCCCTTGCCGCACTCGTCGCAGCCGAACGGCTTGACGGCCGCGTGGTAGCGCTGGTGCTTGGCCAGCCGCGACCGGTGCGGGAATACTTTGCCGCACACGTCGCATGTAGTCTCGGGCCGCCCTATTGGCGCAGCCACTGCGGGGAATGCCCACGGCGCCAGCAGGTTGGCGCCGGGCTCCCGGCCGGACAGGAAGGGCTTTGCCTCAGCCTCGTCTGCCACGACCCCCAGGCCGCCTGGCTCAGGTCCCCACTCCTCCGCAGTCTGCGCCGAATCTGAGTCGTCAGGGCCCCAAGTCCCAGGTACGTCCCCCACACCATACGCGGCAGACCACAGCCCCGGAGGCTCGTTTTCCTCTTCTGCCATTTCTGCCAGGAAGTCCTCGTCGTCTTCCTCTTCGTGGTCTTCTATGTCGTCGGTCCAGTACCAGGCTCCTGAAGGTGACAAAGAGGATGTGAAAGGAACCTGTCCCAAGAATTCTGGGCCTCCTGGATCTCTGAGCTGTTCACCGCAGGGCCTCCCTCCACTCGACAAAGTGTGAGGCTGTCACCCTAGCCATTCCTGGGCAGCCCCAGGGCCAGTGCAGCCTGGGTTCACCCAGACTTGCTGAGGACCAGCATGCACAGCCAGCCAGGGCTCATGTGCTTCTCCTGCGCCCTCCGGGCTGCCACCCTGCAGAGGATGGGAGCAGGAGGTGAGCTTGTCTGTAGCTTCCTGTGAAACCCAAGGCTAAACCTATAGCAGAGTGCCCACAAAAAGTGGTGACACCTGATCATCTCAGCCTGAGGCACCAGCACAGACAAGACCTCAGTGACAGGCAACCTGCCTTTGCAAGTGCTAAGCTTTGTGTACCCCTTCTCCCACTGCAGCCCCAGGAAAGGCCCCAGCAGCTGGGCTGCAGGTTCTTGAATGGCTCCCCAAGTCACCCCCTGGATTCTGCATTTGGCAGACCCCAAGCCAGCTGAGACGGTGGGTACACTGTGAACACTCCTAAGAGTTTCAGCCACTTGTCTGGCTACCAAGCTGCACTGGGACCTCTCCCTTCTGCCTCTCCTTCCTAGGGGGCTGTGTGGACAGCATGGAGTGTGGCTCTAGAGCCAAAGTCTATAGGACTTCCTTGTTTATGAAGTGAGAGCACTGACAGATGCCACCATAACACATCCCAGAGGGAACTAATGTGTATGAAGCAGACACTTAAGTCACACAGGTGCCACAGGGAAACCACCAGGACCCCAGTGGCCCCTAGTATTGACACCACCTGTGTCTGTGCTGTCTTGTGCACTGTGCCCACTTCAGATCCCAGCTCCTCAAGGTCCCACAGTGTGTGTAGGAAACTCCTCCCTCCCATCCCACGCGGTTCCACCCAGGCTCTTTCCTACAGCCAAGTCTCTGGTGGGTCACCTGGCTGGGGAGCCTGGGCCACTGAGTCCCAACCTCAAGAAAGGATCAGAGCCCTGGAAGCCTCAAAAGTCTGAGCTAGCCCCTCATTTCAAACGCTGTCTCCCACCAGGCCCTTGTTCCGTATGACGTTTGTTATGGTCACTGAAGAGTCACACGGGAAGACAGTGCTGTGCCAAGTGAAGTGCACAGGCCTGACTGCAGCTGTGACAAAAACACACATGGATTGGATAAAAGGACAAGAACGAGTAATTTTATTTTTCACACTCTGCAATACTTTCTGAATGTTCCAGAGTTAGTACTTTTGTATTACAGTGCATGTAGCTTTAAATGAACAGGCTTCTTGTTGTTAGGCTGAGATTACCCCCAGCTGCCACCTGTGGTCACCTTAATAATGAGAAGTGGCTGTGCCCCCTTGAGTGACACAGAAAAGGCCCTGCACCTCCTAGCTGGATGCCTTTCTTTATCAGCAACGTTCAATGTGGGAAGACTGGGGTTCCCTAGGGGCCGGGAGGGACGGGCTGCCTGGCTGTTGGTCAGAGGGAAAGGTTTGTTCCTCAGGCTCTGAGTAGTTCCTAACTGGAGAAATTCCTACTGAGGAAGGGATGTGACTCCTTGGCAGATTAGGGAGTCTGTGCCCCTCAGGACAGTCAAGCATCAACAACCCCTTGCTGCGTCAGAAAGCATCAGAGCGTTGGACATCAGGTCCAGCAAGGGCCTGCCAGTGGGCAGCCTGACTGCCAGGAACTGGGAGGATGGTGGGTCGCAGTGGCACCACCTGCAGGCTAGGCAGCCCCCCAGAGGGCACTATAGAGTGGACTGGTCCTCTCTACATGACACAGTACCTCTGGACCTGGCATGGCCACTGTCCCAACACCACCACCATGCATGAGGCCAATCCTAAACACAAAGCAAGGGGACAGAGGCCACCACAGACACAGAACAGGGAGGGAGGCACTTGAGCCCCAGGGAAGTCAGCTGGCTGCACCCTGAGACAAGGCCTCAGAAGTTACTGGGCCACTGGGAGAAGACCTAGGAAACCCAGGGGTCAGGCTCTGTCCTCTTGTTTTCTGCTGCCCAAGTGGTTCAGGGTGTGGTGGTCTTGGTCCTGGCGCGTGACATCCAGGTCCCCAGGCCTTTTCTGGCTTAGACTAAAAGCCTTTGTTGGGGCTGGGCAAAGACGCCTCAGCTCCACTGTCGGACCCCGGCCAGGGCTAGCAGGATGCTGGGACCAGGAGAGTGTAATGTGTGCTTCCACAGCTGGAGGGCACAGGGACAGGCAGTGCTTTGGCAGAGACTGAGGTTCAAACACTGCTTCATCCAGACACACAGGGGACAGTGGAGGAGAAACAGGCCTGGGGATGGGAGCTGCTGTTCACGTCCCTCATGCCTAACATCTGCTCCAAGGACCTGGCCTTGGATGATAATTAGCCAGGCCTCTAGGAATACCCCAAAAGAGCTCATCTGCAAAGGCAGATGAGGGGCTCAAAGCCCACTGCCAGGGAGGGAGAACACACCAGGGCCTGGTCATAAGGACACCTTCACAGCCTGTGTCCTGAGCTCGGGACCCCAGTGAAATAGGTTTCTGGCCTACCATGAAGGAGTAGGTGACAGAAGCTGGTGGAAAGGGACTCCAAACAAAGAAGGACAACCTGGCAGGCCAATGCCAGAGGAATGAGTCAGAAACCCTCAGGACTGCTGTCACCACAGGGTTTCTGCTTTCTAGGTTAGTAACATCTGAGGTGGCGGTCTTAAGAGTTTGCCCCTGCAGAGCGTAATATGGGGTTTTACAAATGTCAATTCTGCTTCACTATTCCACTGTGCCTTATCCCAGGGATTCCCTACAGCTGACACCCCAATCTGCTCAGCTCCATAAGCAGTGCATGCACCAGGCTGAGCCCTTTGCCACATCACCCCGGCTGCCTCAAGAAGCAGCTCAGGACACCAGCTGGGTCTGAATCCTACTTCCACCACTTACTAGTCATGAATACTTAGGAAGTCATTTAGCCTTTGTTTCCCCATCTATAAAATGGGCTTGTTTTATTTTGAGACAGTGTCTCACTATATAGCCCAAGCTGGCTCAAACACAATCCTCCTGCCTCAGCCTCCAACTGCTGGGATTACATACGTGCACCATCACACCTGGCCTTGTAAAATAGGTTTATTTATTGTTGTGGTGCTATGGATCAAACTCCAGGCCCTGTATACTACCACTGAGCTACATAGATCCCCAACCCTAAAAAGGTAGCACCTGAAAACCCACTTTGCGGGATTAAGCAGCCATAAGACCTCCCACCCCACTCTTCAGCTTGGTTTTCTGCTCCCTGAAACATCAGGCTGCACCTCCTTCCACTCTTGTAGCCCACCGCTAGTCTCTCCTCCAGCAGGCTGGGCATCTCTAACCCTAAGGCCTCTAACCAGCTATGCCCCTGGACAGTCCAGTTCTCCTCTAACCAGACAAGAAGTGGGGGTGGGGCAGACTGTGGGGTGACCTGGCTGGCTTGAAGCCACCCTGTCACCAGCATATGAAGAGCTAGTAACCTGCAGACACAAGAGGTCCCTCCAGGTGAGTCGAAGCTGCTGCTTTTCCTCTAACAACCCAGGCCTGGTTCCAAGTAAGGCCACGCCAGCCTCTGCCCTCATGCACCGCCCCCCATTTCCTCCATCCAGCCACAGAGACTGAAGGTGGGCTCAGGGAGAGCCCCTTCCCCTTCAGCAACGGTTACTGAGGAAAGAGTGATAAGAGTGATGTGCTAAATCAGTGGGCATTGCCGCCTCCTTTCCCACTGTGGGCTGTAGGGGAGACTTCCGAGTTCAAGCTTGGGAAGGTGGCAGGGCTTCTACACTGGCATCTATCCTCCTTACCAGGTTCTAGCGAAGCTACCAGGTCTAGGAGCAGGTGGCCCTCACCAAGGACAGACAGTGGGCTGCCTCCTATCGCTGATAAGTGACCTCAGAATGGCCAGCAACTCTCTCTGGTTTCAATCCCCTCATGGATGACATGGGGCTACAGCACCAAGGCCTGGCCCTCTTCACACAGGATTTAGGACAAAAGCATTCACTGTCCAGAGAAGAGGAGATGGGCCCAGTCTCTCTCCATCAGAGGTTCCATCACCTGTAGACCTATCAAGCCCTTTTGCTCCAGGAGCAAAAAAGTCTACCTCTGCCAGGGGCGCTCTCACTCCTCCAACCTCCACCAAACCCAGGTGCCTAAGGCAAGTCAGGACTCCTTACTCCTTATCCCCTGGCTACAACTAGAAAACGGAGACAGACTCAGTGATGTCCAGTCACTGGACTGGCCCTCTGGGATCTCCCCAGGTGCTCACAGCTGCTCAGAGCCTCTGCCTGCTGGAAACTGGCTGATCACTGCATTCTCTCACCTTTACTACTGCCTTTGAAACTTCATCTCTTGTCTCCTGGGTAATGTTTAAGCTGTTTTCATCCTGGGTGTCATACTTCTATCCTTTGCTTTCAGAAGAGGGGCAGAAGCCAGCAGCCAAGGGGTGCTTCCTCTAGGAGTAGCATCCACAGTGCCAGGCTTTGCTGGAAGCTGCCTCAGGACTCACACGTGAATCCTGAGTGCGTGGATTCACAAGGATGAGGAAGACCCAGTACCTGTTCCTACTGAGCTTGAAGTGCTAGGAAGGTGGGCTGGAAACAAGGCAGTTAAGGACACAGAGCAGGAAGGCCAGCTCCACATAGACACACTAGACCAGACCACCAGGCCAAGGCAGAGACCCATCCAAGGGAAGCCTATGCTCACCAGGACACTTTCTCCAACTACATTCTCTGCTCCAATGCAGATAGGGACTGGCAGAAGTGGTATTTAACCAGGACAGGGATCTCTCCAGCAACTTCACCACACATTCATAAGGAGCAAGGACCCTGTGACCTAAGCCAAGGAAGGAGCAGGGTAGGCAGGATGGGTGGGATTGGAAGCCAAGAAGGAAATGAAGAGCTGGTGGCAGGTGCCAGGGGATAGAGGACTCAGAGTACAGGCTGAGGGGCAAGTAGGGGCTTCAAGTAGCACTGAATGGGGAAATATGGCCAGAGTCCACCTGTATGCAGGGCCCATCTCATCAGGAGCACAGGACAAGGAACCTTGTGTCTTGCACGACTAATTTAGAAATACAACTCTCAGTTCTCAAGTGGCTCAGCTGGGAAGAAGTGGATTGGGGGTGGGGGACACACAGTGGAGGCAGGCACTCAGCCACAGGCTGTTGTCAGAGTTCTACCTGAGTGGCCTCCCAACCTTTGCCACCACATCTGTATGCTCTGTAAGCAGGCATGTGACACATCAAAGACATGCCTGATGGCTCTGCAGAAAGAGTCTGGGCCAGGGACATTCCTGGTCCACCCGCTCCAACACAGCAACTAGCCACAAGGGAGGGCAGAGGCCCAGTCCAGCCAGCCCTCGGGATACTTCCAATCCCAAGCCAGGCGCAAGGCTCCCATGCCACCTATCGAGTAGACTTCAAGGACCACCCAGGCTCAGGCCAATGCAAGGTGTTTTCCTAGGACCCTCCAAGAGGTAGGAAGAACTGGGGCAAATTACAGCATGCACCAAGAGACTGGTCACCACCAGCTACATCCCTTCCCCTCCAGGTGGCTTTCCTGAGTATGGCTGTAAACGGGCAAACTTCACACCAGGATCCTCAGAGAAACACCGCCTACATCCCAGAGGCAGCAGCAATGCTTCATGGTAGTCAGAGCCCAAGGAAGGTCCCAAAAGGGACTTGGGTCCTCAGCAGGAAGAGCAGCCCACTGCACAGTGGAGAGGGACTACAGATGACCTGAGGCCTTGCCAAGTAACAACTACTTGAAAAGCCATCTTCCTGTTCTGAAGGGAAGCTAATGAGGCCTCAATGCCCCACAGAGCTGCTGCAACACTGAGTGCAGGTAAAGATACTCTGACAAGTGCACGTGGGGTCATGGTACTGGAGTAGGGTTTCCAATATTTTTGTTAAAACACGTCACTGTTGGGCAAGGGCCTCTACCAAACACTCTGGAACCGTCACAGACTCCACGAGCACCTCAACACAACCACGAGTCTGACAGGCTCAGGCTGGAAACCATTGGTTTAATTCAAATTCTTTATTCTCCACAACAAGAAAGTGAGGTCACAGAGCTGAAGTAATCAAGCCATAGCCAGACCCAGGCCGCCAGAGAAGTTCACACATCAGTGTCTTCTGCACCCATTACCCCAAAATCCCTCCAGAGCTCTGAACTGCCCACCCAGGCCTAGAGCCTGTCCATGGGCCTTCCAGGGGCAAAGGAAAGCAGGAAGGGTTTAGGTGGTGCTTTTTTCACAGTCAAATGGGTGGGGAGGCAGAGGGTTGGCTAAGGTCTTGGACTCAGAAAGGCCATACCAACAGCCTGCTAGGCTCTTTATACCAACAAATGCCCTCATTTGCAAAGAAAAAAAAATCACAGGTTCCAAGGTGGGGAGAGAAAACTGTTTGAGGCTCTCTAAGAACCTTCTGCCCTTGGTCATAATGGAGCTGCACCAAGAGGAGCCAAGGGCTAGCACACGGTGGCCACCCTCTGTACTCAGCCAATCCACCCCTAAATCATCAGCATGGACCACTGGAGGTGGCAGAGGGTGGGGATGCCAGGTCTGCAGAGGGCTTGGGTAAAGACCAAAGTCTAACGGCAGCTCTGAGCAGCTGTGCTGATAGAAACCCCATAAAATAACATCTCATGCTCACCCGTGTAGACGCCTGTGACAATGTCTCCGTCCTCAGGATGGGGACTATCCGGGACCCAAGGTTCTTCCCCTTGTTCCAGGCGAAAGATCAGATCTGGCTTGGGGATTGGATATCCTGCCCAGGAGAGGAGCAGATAGAAGCTGCAGGGCGGCTGTCATAATGGAACCCACACTGTACCTGCCCACCAGATCTCCTCTCCACCTTTCCCAGTCAGCCCTTCCACTTCACTCTGCTCTGAGAGATTCTGCATCCCTTCCCTCACTACCCAGATCTCCTCCCACCAAGCCCTGCCCCACAAACCTCCACCTGCAGGATGCCCATCCATGCTCCATCCATACAGGATTTTGGAGCCTTGCAGCCCAGAGTCCAGAATGGGAGTGAGAGCTGACAGCACTTTCCACCTGGCTCAGATCACACCACCCCTCAGAAACCAAGGTGGTTCTAGGTTTTCCCTGGGGGTGGGCTGCTCCCAGAAGCTGCCTACTCTAAGACCACAAAGCTGGAGAAGCTCTCCCTCAGATGGCTATGCCCCCAAGCCATCTTAGCAGACAGCCTCTGGGGACAAAAGGCCCTTCCTTTCTTACCCAAGGACACCAGGATCCCATAGTTCTCCTGCATAACTTCCTTGTACAGGCTCCGCTGGTCTGTGTCCAGCCTCTCCCACTCTTCCATAGAGAAGTACACAGCCACATCTTCAAAGGTCACCAGCCCCTGGAAAACACAGCCATGGACACTGCCCTCAACTGCCCCAGGTGAAAAGCTGAAGGAACCCATCCTGCTCCCAACAGCCATGCAGGACGCAGTCAGAACATACTGAGGCCCTACAATGTAGCTCTCAAAGGGATACAGCTTCCATCTCAATAGAGCTACAGATGCCAACTGGTACTGTGGGCTCTCCAGCCTCCCCCGCCACCAGCCCTGGAGGCAGGGACTCATTTCCATCCAGAGATGAGGAATTCTGGCTCAGAAAGGGCAAAGGATCCAGCTCATGGGGCAGAAGGCCCAGCCCCACAGCCCCTCCTGCTTCACACAGCCTGGCCAAGGAAATCTGTAGTCACATCAGCAAGATGAGGGTCCCCTCCTGTGGACAGGGGGCACTGACTACAGTGAGTGTGGGCATGGGAGCCCAATCTATCTCTGCAGCAGGAAAACAGACATTGGCCAGGTGACAGTCATTCCGGGTAAATGCACCAGCCTGACCTTAAGGGATAAGCAGGCCTCTGAGGTCACTGTGCACAGTGTAGCTAAGTCGGTGGAGGCCACAACAATCAGGAGGACATGATGATCTGGAAAAGAACAGGACCCAGGAAAGCAGAACCACATGCCCTGGACCTGGCCTGGGGATCCCAGTGCCACTGCCCACAAAGGTTCCCAAGTGCAGATGTGAGGCCTCCTGGGGAAACCCTTCCTGATGACCTGAGCTCCACAGAGAAGGCAGCTTACCTGGGACTCCTCCTCGTCCTCCTCCTCCTCATCGTCCTCCTCTTCCAGATCCTCAGCCTGAGCAGTGGTTACAACCAGGGAAGCCTGCAGGGCTGAAGGGAAAGAGAGCTGAGGGGCCAGCTGGCTAGCAGAGCTGGAGCTCTTGGCTCCCTCATTTCCAAACCTTAGGCGTCAGACCTCTCCCCAGCCTGGCCTACCCCAGCACCAGCACCTTTTCTTCCTTCCCAGGGGCTGGCTCCATTTTTTTGTTTGTTTGCCCTTTCCCTGAAGAACTAGGGACTTAGCATCACCACCATGGCTACCTTGCTCCTGGGTTCCCAAGCCTGGACTCTGCTCCTCTGCCAGCACCTCCTCCACGTCATCATTGTCCTCCTCCTCCTCTTCCTCCAAGTTGGCCTCCACCTCCACCTCTGCCACCTCCTGCACCACTGCCTCCTCCTCTTCCTCCTCCTCTTCCACCACAATCTCCTCCTCCTCTTCTTCCACCTCCTCCCCCTCTTTTCCCTTTTCCTCCTCCTCCTCCTGGTCAGGATCACATTCTGCCCCATCCTCCGCCCTCTCCAGCTGGGCGACCGGGGAATCTGGAGTCATGTGAAGGGCTGCCATCTTTCCTGGGGGCAATCCTCCGCTCGGCCTGTAACACAGATCAGGGAGGCCATCAGAGCTGATGAAGATCAGAGCTCTATCTGTGATCTTATGCTGCATAACTGGCCCATTGTGGACTAAGAAAGGCTACCAAAGAGCCCTTCCCCTGAAGCCCCTGGCTAGGGCCTCCGTTCTTTCTCACAGCAGCCACACACCTGGCAGGAGCCGCTGCCCTTTCTTGAGTGAGTCAACCATTAACGGGAGTCTTTATCCGCAAGGACCACAAGAGGCACTGAGTCCAGGCAACACAGCCTGAGGGTGGCCCATGTTTACAGAAAGGGGTGAGTGTAACCCACAGGCACAGCCCACTGACACAGAGAACAAAGAGCGCTTACCCAGCCCTCAGCACACATGAACCAGGCCGGCAGGGGATGCAGGAGGCCAAGCCCACGCACAGGCCAGACTGGGGGCACTTGTGAGACTGGATGGGCAGAAGGCAGGGACAGGCAGCTTTACTGGTCTTTTCAGGAGGCAAGGTGAGACCAGGCTGAGAAGTCAGCAGGCCAGGCTCCTTCCTGTAAGTCAGAGGAGAGAAGGGGCCATAAGGAGGTACAGCCTTGCAGTCTGCCCTTACTTCTCACAGCGTCCAAGGGATCTGGGAAAAGCTCAGTGGGTTATGAAGATGGGCCCGGTACTTGGCCAGCATAGGTAACATAAAATGCCCTGAGACGTTCCTTCAAGTTTAGTTAGGCATTAGATAATCCTAAAGACTGAAGTGCCAATACTCTGGAGGCTCAAGGTCTCCCCCATCGATATCACAAATAGCTGGGCCCAGGCGCACAGGGTAGAGGAACAGGGGACTCTGGGCCCTCGGAGCCATGCCTTCCTCCCAGTTGTGCATCTTTCACCAGCCCCTGTGGACTCCCTCGAGCAGGGAGTTCCTTTCTGTGGCACCTTCCTGGGTATGAAGCCAAGACTGCGTCTGTCATGTAGCATCTGTCCCATCAGTGTGTCAGGTCTGAGCAGGGCCATTTCCAAAGCAAGCTCAGGCCACCCCAGAACCCAGAGGTGAGGGCATGAGTCTCAAGGGATCCTAAACTGCTGGGCCACATGAGACATGGGGCCCACTCCACAACCCCAGTTCTACTGATGGGCTGCACCACAGAATGCCTAAAACCTCTGCGAAGACCCAGGCCGTGGGACCATCAGAGCACTGGGCCTGGTGGTCTCACGGACACGAGAGACCACCCAGGGACTGGCTCGCACTCCATACCAACACTTTTCTACTCAGGCAGAGAATGCTCCTTACCAAAATGCTCTGAGCTGCTGCTTTAAAACCCACACTTCAATAGCCAGGAGACTCTGAGCATCCATGCAAGTCCTCCCAAGTTCAGGGACCAGGACCCCCTAGCAATCAGAAGCCACCTCAGTCCCGACTATGCTGCCTTCCCGACACCTGTTTCCCCACACTAGATTCAGAAGCACTGCCTCAAAGACACAAGCCACAGAACTAGGAAGGAAGGCCAGGCCAGCCTCAGCCTCTCCCCTCTTCGGTATGGGAAGAGGACTCAAGTGTACAAACATTCATGTCTGTGTTGCCTTAGGACCAGCCCTACCCAGCACTTGGGCACTAAGACCTTTCAGCAGCAATTCTTAACTGCACAGCATGGCAGCACCTACACTTGACCTGAGAAAAGTCAACTGAGTGATGTTGGCTCTTCCTCTGAATCCCCCATTTCAGACACAGAGTAAGCACTCCAGGACTTACTGCAGAAGTGACCCTAAAGTCCACAGCTAATGTGCCGGACATGAATTTCTAAAACTTGGTCTTTGGGCCCTACTGTCATCTTCCAGAACAGGCTGACCATAGCTGGGGAGTCCTTGGAACTAAAGCCCATCCCAGAAGCAGTGGAGAACCTCTGCCACCAAAGAGGACACTGGTAAGGTCCCTTTTTCCAATCAATCCACCCATTGGTGGGACCAGAGAAAACGGAGCTCCACCTGTTACAGAGGCCAGAAGTCCCACAGCAGACAGGTCCAGGGCCAAGTTCATGCCATTCTCCCCAACTAAGAGTTCCGAACAGAAAGCTCTGAGAAGTGGACCTTGGGGGCAGGTCACTTCATACTCCTGCAACTCAAGCTCTGACGTCTACCTGTCTCTCCAGCGCACATCTTCCCATGTGGAGCTGGGGGTGGGGAATGACTCACAGGTTCACTTTCCCTTAACCTCCAATTCAGGTCAGAAGCCACAGAGGGTCAGGTAAGCAACTTCATGTAAATCCCTGGGTCCTCCAGACCCTCATTTCCACTGGGGCCCAGCACCTGAGGACATAGCCAGTGCTGCATTTAGAACTGGGATGGGGGGGAAGAGAGAACAAGATCTCTTCCCTAAGAAGGGAAGTAGCAAAAACGGAAAAGAAATGCAAAGTTTGAAAACTCTTAGAAACTCCACAAAAGTCCCCAATCCAGGGAACCCATGCTGGGAAGGAGGAGAGAGGAGATGCCTTTGTGCAGTTTGGAACTAGTCACCTTCTTTCTCTTTGGCTGGCCTCACTGACCTCAAGGTCTTGGAAGATGTCCTTCCCTGGCCACCACGACGCTCATCTTCTGTTCCTGAGTTTCAGCATTTACTACCCTCCTGGGCTGCTCCTACTGCAGGTGCATCCATGGCAGTATCTCAGATGACCAGTCCCACCAGCCCCCCGACGCCAGACCTGCTGACACTTGTTGAACCAAACCAAGTGTCAACGTCATCATCCCTGCAAGGGGGGAGCTACAGACCTGATCATCCTGGTACTTGCATCTCCCCTTCCCAGGGCTCATCCAGCCTCACACCAAAGGCCAACTGTCTCCCACCTTTTATGATCACCTGGGGCACTCCATCTGACTCCCTGGGACCTTTCCCTACCCACCTTTTGGCACAGAGATGACAGAGCACAGAAGCCCAACAGGGCCTCCACTTGCAGATGAGGGCAGGCTCAGACAGGGCCCCCCCAAGGTCACAAAGCAGGCTGTGGGGAGCCTCCCTCCCTGCCTGCTGAGGGCTTATCGCGCCCCCACCTCCTGCAGAGGCCACCATGGTGACAGCCCCTCCTTGGATGGGTGTGTCCCGGGGGCGGGGGCGATCGCAGCCCAGCCCCCACCGCAGCAGGGTTGGAGGAGGAGGAGGCGGGCACCTCCCGAGGTGTCGCCATGCGCGTGTCCTCCCCCAGCCCACTCCCTCGACGCTACCTGCCTGGCCGGGCCCTGGGGAAGGGTGTGTGTGTGGTGGGCGGGAGGTCGAGGCCGCCTTCTGACGCGCAGGCCCGGGAGGGGAGGCGGGGGTCCACGGACCTCGTGGGGTGCGAGCGCTGCGGTGGAAAGCCAGGTCCGCGAGGCTGTGTCTGCGACCCCACCAGGCCCGCACCCCACCCCTCACCTCCGTCCGCCCTCCCCCGAGTGCCGCAGCCGCTCCGCGACCACCCGAGGCCTCCAGGCTTCGAGGGCCGCCGCCCCCGGGGCCAGTCGGGCCCGGCCGCACCTGCCGCCCGCGCGCGCCCCACTCACCGCGCGCGCGCCAGGCCGGCCGAACCGGGTCAGGACGCGGGACTGGGCCGGGACCGGGGACAGGGGCCGGAGGCCGCTAGGGCCCCTCGCTACACAAAGTGACGGCCGCGAGCTGCGCGGCGGCGGCGGCGCGTGGGCACCGGAAGTGCCGCCCGCCGGCCCCGCCCCGCCCGCGCCCACGGGGGGGTACTTCCGGTCACGCGGGGCCTGCCGGCGCGCTGTTGCGAGCGCTTGGCTGCGAGGGGCCGCTGCGCTCTGCCCCGGCGCGGAGAGGGATGGACGTGGAGGGGGACTGCGTGGAGGGGACGCGAGCACACTGGACACTCGTGGGCAGCCACCACCATGCCTGCCTGCACCCCTGAACACCCCCCACCTCCCGCCAGGAGACCCTCACCCCGCCGTTTGAGATGCCCACGGGGTCCAGCTCCGGCGGGCATCCCTGCGTAACAAACGCGGACTTCATTCCACTGGGATTTAAGGAGCGCCTGCTAAGTCCCCTCCAAGGGACCCTCCTGGGCCCTGAAGTGGTGACCCCAGCACGGGTTTGGAGCCCACCTTCGTGTCTCCACACCCCAACTAGGCAGGAGGCGTGGCAGAGGGCGATGCAAGAGCAGGAGTGGAGCAAGCAAGTGGCCCAGGTGTCCAGACTCCCTTCCCGGACCACCAGTGCGTGCAGTGCAGGGACAACCCAAATGAATGTCTGGAGGGCAGAGGGACTGAGGGGTCCTGTTGACCATGGCAGTCAAATGCAGGAAGAGTTGTAGAGGGTGCACTTGGAGCTACAGAAGTAGTCTGTTGGTGGAGGCAGAAGTGACAGGCAGGGGTGGGAGTAATGGGAAGGGGAGGTCTCTGGAGGCATCAACGACGCACAGACTGTTCCCATATCTGTCTGCTTCCACACACAGGTGTGCATCTGGGGTCTAACGGTGTCTTCTGGCACCCATGGGATTCAGGGCCTTTTTTCACCCTGGAATGAGGTGGCCCCAGGCTTCTTCCACAGTTGCCACCACACTTGCACCATTATTTTTCCTACATTTGGGTGGTGAACTCAACCGTAGCCGCTCCTCAAGACAGGGCAGCAGCAGGAAGGACTAAAGGAACTTCACTCTAGTGAAATAAATCCCCTCCATTCCAGAACCTCAGCCCCTGGTGTTCTGGCAGAATAAGCACTCAAACCTTGTCCTGCACAGGGGTGCAGCACTCCCCCACCCACCAAAGTCTTGCCCTTCCCAGTCTCATGCCTGCCTCATCTCCAGCTGAATCTGACCCCTTGCTGTAATATGCTGCTGAGTTGTTAAAGTTTTTTAATGTTATAGAATTAATAATTGAAGCCAGGTGTGGTGATGCGTGCCTATAATCCCAGCTACTCCAGGGGTGGAGGCAGGAGGATCACAAGCTCTTACCCATCCTGGACAAAGTTAGTGAGACCCTATCTCAAAAACAAAATAAAAGCAAAACACCTGGGGGTGTGATTCAAGTGGTAGAGCACTTGCCTAGCATTCATTCATGAATCCCTGAGTTCAATGTGTGCGTCAGTTGGGGGGATTGAAAATTGAGAGTCTCTATTTAAAAAAAAAAGTTCTGGCAACACAGTGCCTGTGGTTTGAGGGTACTGGTCAGTAGGGCCTGAGAGGTGATGGACCCGGTGATGATTGGGGCTTGCCATCCTTGGTGCCTACTACTCACCATCTCTCTACAGGCCCACCTCTTCAGGATACCGCCACCTGGGCTTGTGGGTATCTAAGATTTTGAACTCCAACTACCAGTTTAGACTTGACCATCCTACCTGATCTGTAGGTTCATCAGGAAACATCAAGGTATCCCAAGCAAGGAGGGGGTGATTAACAATTAACCAAAAGCAGTGTCACCAGGCAAGGGAAAACTTGGGAATGTGGGGGTTTCAGGGCCTGGCAGCCTGTGACCCCTTTAGCCCTGAAAAGAGGAAAGAATAAGATGCCATTGAGCCTGGGAGGAGATGGAGGTGGAGAGGTGGAGTCATCCAGCAGAAGCTGTGACTGTGGAGAGACAGTGGGAGGCAGAGAGAAGAACCCCCCCCCATCTCTGCTCTCCTGCAGTCAGTCACTGGCCAGCACTGCCCTTGGGCAAAATCGTCCTGAACTGTAAGAGTAAGGGTTGCTGGAGATGCAGCCTTCAGAGGTCAGTCTCTGGGCCCAGAGCCAGGTAGAGAGTAAATGGGTGGAGTGGGCCACAGAATCCTGTGCTCTGTTCCTGCCTTAGAACCCTCCATCTTATCAGGTAAGGATCCTCTGTCACCCTAGCATCCAGACCTCTCCCTTGGCCTGCCTGAACCTGATCCTGACACAAGACTAATTTCCTCCCAAGTGTCAGGATTACAGATGTGTGCCACCCTGTCAGGCCTTCTACAGAGATTTTCAAAGCCAGAGTCCACCAGGCTCCGAATTCCTCAGACCTCCCTTTCTTTCAGCCTATTCCTGCCTGAGTATTCACCTCAGCTGGTGTTCCTTTGGTCCTTTGTCAAGGTAGAGGGTCAACAGAGAGGCCACCCCTTGGCCTCTTCATTACATCCCCATCTCTGAGGGTCAGCTCTCCATCTTCCTGCTCCATGACAGGCAGTCTTCAAGGCTCATTTTGCTCCTCACATTGAAGGACACAGCCGGACACGGGCGCGCGCGCACACACACACACACACACACACACACAAAAAGATGCTGCCTGTCCTTCATTCTCAGGTGTGTATTCACGTGTTTATGTGCAGTCTCCATGATGACATTTTCATGGACACCCCATATCTTGCCTGCCTACCCTCTGCAGGACCTATGGTTACTCTCTGAGTTCTCCAAGGAACTCAGATCCAAAATAATTACCTATAAAATAATTATCTGTACCTGAACCACGTGGGTGGGGGCCAGGGGAGACAGAGACCTTCAGATGGAGGTCAAACAGCTCTAAGAATCATGTTGAGAAGGACGCAGGCATGAGGCTATAGAAGATGAGAAGAGAACCAGGTATAGTGGTGTATGCTGTAATCCCAGCACTTGGGAGGAAGAGGCAGGAGGATCTCAAGTTCGAGACCAGCCTAGGCAACTAGTTCATGAGACCTTATCTTGAAAATAACTACAGCAAAATGGACTGAAGAAGTGGCTCAAGTGGTAGAGCACCTGCTTTGCAAGCGTGAAGCCCTGAGTTCAAACCCCAGTTCCACAAAAAAAAAAAAAGAAGAAGAAGACAGTGAAAGAGGGGACTCCTGCAGCTGCATGAGGGGAAGGGGGTATCTATCTGCAAGATGGAGACCTACACAAACAATCGGGCTTCCTAAGCTCCAGAACAGCTGGTGGGCACCAAGCTGAGACCCTGACCCCACTCTTGGCCATGAGCTTAGCATGGGGCTGTCACACCTCAAATTCCAGCTAGCCTGACGGTGATAGGGTGTTTTGATTACAGTTATTAATGTATTCCCTAATACACATTTTAATGGTATCTCCTATAATGCGTGATTGGGAGTTGGGTAGGATTCGAGGTCAATTTTTGACATGATGGGCCTGAATATAGATGTGCCCAAGGCCTGCCAATCATATGCCTCCCTGAGGGGCACCTAGTGGGCTAGAAACACAAGGAAGAGATGGGCGCTGATCCCTCACCCCAGGGAAAACTGAAAGCAGGCAATGTTCTTGATGGGGAGGAGGAAAGGAGGGAGAGCCTGCCCATATCAGGGGCTGGTCCACCTGCCCCCAGCTGCTGCATACAAAGCCAAAGGAGGGAGAGGCCTGCCCAGGCCTGGGCACCCCAAGAGAGCAGGAGAAAGCAATCACAAGAAAAACAGAGGCCTACACTGGGAGGCAGCACCCCTCCAGCCTGGGCTTACATGGCTGCACATTGCCATCAGCTGGTCTGAGGTTGAGGGAAAGGACACAGAAATTGAGGGACACAGCCAACCTCAGGGTGCCAGACCTAGGGTAGGGCAAGTCTCAAAGTCCCAGCTGTGAAGTGCAGCCTGAGAGCCAGGAGCCAGGAACTCAGAGAAAGCAGAGGTTAATATCCCTATGTTTTCCCAGAACAGGTAGCCTTTTAGCCAACCCGGAAAGGTGACTGAAGACTGGGACATAGCAGAATAGGGGCATCCAGCCCGAAAAGGAATTGAGGGGTAGGAATTTGGGAAGATGGGGAGGGGGGAGTCAGCAGGCAGGAGAGAGTCATGTTTTGCCAAGATGGTGGGGCATGGCAAGGAACACAAGTAGGAGTCAGGGAGCCATCCAAAAGACGTTGAGGTGACCTAGGTGGCAGTGACAAGCTGTGGGAATTAGGAATTCTGCATGGGCCAGGTGTGGTGGCTCACACCTGTAATCCTAGCTATTCATGAGGCAGAGATCAGGAGGATCAAGGTTAGAGGCCAGCCCATGCAAATAGTTTGTGAGACCCTACCTTGGAAAAACTCTTCACAAAAAAAAAAAAAAAAGGCTGGTGGAATGGCTCAAGGTGCAGGCCCTGAGTTCAAGCCCCACTACGGCAAAAAAAAAAAAAAAGAATTCTGCATGGGTGCAGTAGCTCATGGCTATAATCTCAGGACTTGGGAGGCCAAAGCCAGGAGGATCAAGGTCTGAGGCCAGCACCAAGCCCCCCCCCCCAAAAAATGCAAGACCCTGCTTGAAAAATCACTAAAACAAAACAGGGCTGGTGGTGTGGCTCAAGTGGTAGAACACCTGCCTTGAGCACCAGGCCCTAAATTCAAACCAAGCTGGGATTAGAAGCATGAGTCACCACTCTTGGCCAAGAATTTGGGTGCAATGGTGCACTCCTGTAATCCCAACACTCAGGAGACCGAGGCAGGAGAATGGAGAGTTCAAGGCCAGCGTGGGCTGCATAGCAAGACCCTGTCTCACAAACAAAAACAAACAAGAAAAAAAGAGTTCTTAATTCAGAATTAAGCTATGGGACTGGGAATTGTTGCCAGGCAGGAACCTGATCCCCTGGGAACTTGTGGGGAGCCAGGTGATGGGGTTCTGATACCATGTGAAAGACCAGGCCTCCACCTACCCATTGTCTTTCCACAGGGAGCCCCTCCTTCCTTCACCAGCCCTCCCTGGGAAGCCCCAAGTCTAACCTAATCTTCCAGCCAGGCAGCAGCAAGGCATGCTGGGAATGATTGGTCACTGGGGCTGGT